GGGGGATTAGATGGGGATTTTATGGAGAAGATAGATGAGATGATTGATGGAGCGAGGCTCATAGCGATAGGGATGGCGATGAGGATAACGATGGCAGCGGTGATGTTCATGTCGTGGATGTAGTGATTGATATTATGGGAATAAAAAAGATTAATAGAGAGAGAATGACAATAACAAGAAAGTCTCGACAGCTCTATCCTCATAAATTTCCATCTTCACTCTCTATGTCATGAAGTGCTTGAGAAGACACGAAAGATTCTGTTATGAATCACCAGTTGTTCTTTATTCCTTTCTTGACTAAAATTCTTTCCTTCCGACTCGATGGGGATTCGATGAAGGGAGAGAAGGGATATTTATATTAACCGAGATATTTTAGAAGGGGATTGTGGACTGCAAGATTTAATCATCTGGTTGGTGAATCTTTCATCAACTATTTCCCGATTATGTAATAAGTTCTCTCTTCTTATGATGAAGTAGTATATAAACTCTCTTCCATGTCTCCAGTCTTTTCCTGGTAAATTTGCAGCCAATTTTCGCTTGTGGGATACATGGTGGGTGATTGGAGACGAGACTTTCTGTATTTGTGTACCTACTGAGATTTGAGTTGGAGAACTATGGATGGGTGGATTGAGCAAAAAATACAGATTACTGAAGAATAGATGAAATGAGAAGGTGACTGTGAGCATTAGAATGCTGAAATACAGTGGTGAGTCATTGATAATAATCCAATACCCTCATCGACAACAACAGCAAAGCTTGACATTATCGAAGGATAAAATGGCAATAATATTCTATATCAACCTCTTAGTCTCATCCTTTTAATTAAGTTAACTTAGATCAAGTACGTGTAATCCATCGCTAGAGTAAAATTTCACTTATCTCCCTCTCAGCCTTCTTATAATCTTTGAATGGATCGCTGCTCTTGGTTGCTTGAGCAAAATAGTAATGGAAGAGTAGGTATTTATACATTCTAGTTTGAAGTTATGGCAAGAAACGAGACGAATAGTGTTTGAGTTGCTGATTATTAATCTATTGATTTCCGTATCTTTCTGGTCACATCGGAAGATCGTTTTAGAGTGAATGTATATTGTGATGCTTAGGACTGGGAAATAATGGAGGTGTAGAGAAATTATGAGTACTTTACGATGTATATAAACGTGCTTTCCTCAATCTGTATCTTCCTCTTTCATTTGAAGAAAGTGTGGACTCCGAGAATGAAAAGATGGCTGCGTGACACATTTCCCTGCGGCCCTGAAAGTACATACTAGCAAAAGCTCTATGCGAAAGAAGTTCGAGTACAGAGACTTTTTAATTTCAGAGACGATGGATTATATCTGGTAATCTGTATTTCTTTGAGTAGTGGCAGTGATAGTGATGGCGATAATGATAATCATCAAGTAACAGTGAATCATGTCATCAACGACAAAAATCTTTTATCTCCTCCGCTTTCTCCTCCTCTCTGTCTCTTGCCATCTCTCAATGTCCACAGAAGCGTCTATAAACCTTGCTCAAGGAGTTAGTTATTGGGAGGAGAATAATCCATACGACTCTGGTGAGTTTCATAGCTCTGTCTTTACATGAGCAGAGAAAATCGAGAAGAAAGGATGTCAATCTTATACTCCGCCAAGCTCCAGCGAATGTAGGATTGTGGATAGACAAAATTATTGCGGAGGAGGAAGTCAAAAGGCGAGCAGAATTTTCAAAGAAGGCAAATTCCACCTTTTCTTTATCTCAATGCCTTTCCCGTTCTGATGAATTTCTTATCATGTTTCGCCTATTTATTTCCCTGCACTTCGTCTGTATCCTACCACTCTCTGGATACAGAATTCTTCCTCAAGCATACTATTTCTTCACATGATAATTTGAGAATCCATAAATTAGTCACAAATTTGAAAGTGAATGATGGGGTTATGTGCTCGTGAATTGTGTAGTGGTTCGAGCTGATGAGATGCCAAATCGAGTGTACACAGACGGTGGTAATTTCTGGAACTTTAACGACAGTCGTAGGATATAATGATTACATACAAACGACAGCGATAAGTCAATAGTCTTTTACCATAAAAACATCTTCCACAATTCTAAATTTACCTATATAGACACTTCAGATGAGGCAGGTCTACTAGTCGATTTAAGCAACAGCCTAGGATCCAGCTGATATCTCAGGAATGCTGGTTGAGACTCTTGCGGATTGTGACATGGAGATTTATATGATATGAGGATTTTTATATAAAAGTCTATTTATACAGTGAAAACAATGGGAAGACTGTGCCCAAAAGAGTGCGATATTGGGGTGAATAGGCATCGATGCCTCCTTGTACCTACCTCTTCGGACTACTCTTAATTTTCTCGGTTCAGAGTTGCATTTTAGCTCGTGAAGTTGTGGGTGAACTGTATAAGTATGCTTCCTTTCCCCCTCTATATTATCCTTTCAAAGCTTCAGTCTCAAATGCCGATGAAAGCTATGTAATGCAGTGAGCTTGGTCTTAATGGGTCTACTATTAGTAGTTTGCAGATGAAAGAAGCTGGTATGTTTTTTCGCAAGCAACAGCTTTGAAGCATCAGCGGGACATTTTATTGGAGGTGCATTTGGGAAGAAATAGGATCGACAATTTTAAGTATGACAATGATGAGACTGATGGTCATAATAAAATCGTGAATGGTAATGAGTGAATGTTTGAATGCGTGACAATGATGACAAGAATATCAATGCAAAACGAGCAAATCCCCTCGAAATTTTTGGTCTTCACAATCACTTTCTTAACAAAAATCTCATTTTGATCCACGCCTAGGAAGAGACACCATCTCCAAGGATTCCTGGCACCTTATCACGAAAGTATTTTTGGTCAGGTATCTAGGGCAAATATGAAGCAGAGCTTTCTTAAATGGGCGGCTTAGCAAATTCATCGAGATGATGATTTAGTCACGTTGAGAATACCAAATTTATCATTCATTGACCTCCATGATTTCAGTACTATGTCATGGCCACTAAAATAAATATAAAACTAGCTTTTTTGTAAATATTTAGAAGATTATTCAACATCACTTTTACTGGTTTAGGTGTTCTGTTTTAACTGTTCCTTATAGATTGCACCTTTTCCGCGCGATATGATATGTGCCTCGGAGGAGTATGCAAAATGAAACTTATTCGCACAGATATTTCATTGGGAGAGCCAGACTTTTGGCAATGAGTATTCAATAATGATAACGGGAAAGTTGGTATTTCTCATCACGACGAAGAAAGCGACGATATACTCAGCGTCATTCTTATTCCCATTATTACAGAGAACGGATTCTTTCTACCGTCGAGATAGTCATTCTGGAAACATAGAAATCTGAATTTCGCGTCCCCATCAACTCCTCATGGCTTCACGTCTGATTTTTGTTCACTTATAGTGAGGTCAAAAGGTGAGATTGATGAGTATATTTATAATCACTCGCTTATTCTATGGACTTAGAGATCTTGGGATATTATGGGGCACTTATTTCTTTGGTAATCTTTCTGGTCCATTGAAAACCACTAAGCTTCTCAGTCGTGGGTATAAAATGTACTGGTTCTGCCATTGTTTTACTACTTGTAAAGGATTGTGAGTATCTGCACCACGAACATATTTTGTCTTTGTGATACCTTTCCTTCGAAGAAGGTCAATTGAAAATTGGGTAATACGAGATTCAAATTTCAAAGAAAAAGAGAACAACGAGTTATCTTATTTGACGATAGGAATTCTACTGCATAGTTCTGATAACCAAGCCCCTTGCCCCTTTGTGACTTGACAGTAAGAACGTAATAGCATTTAGTAACAGCGATAAAGTTTGCAGAAGCCTGCTTCTCCTTCTGCTTGCATGGGAGTTAATCCCTTATCAAAACATTATGAATCTCAGGACTCATCTTATTGACATCATCTGCTCCGCGTAAAATCATATTGTGAGGACTAGGAATGGTCTAATAGATCGGAATTATATATTATTATTCGCCTTTCTTGACTGAAACCACTAGACTTTAAAACAGGTAGACGACGAGATCTAACAAAGTTCATCCACTATGATAAGTCACTAACTTTTCGTACTATTAGTAAATCCAGTATTACACGAATGAGTGAAACAATTTCGGTTATTCGATGTAGTCATAGTTGCAAACATACATTCGTATCCCCCTCCAACTCATACAACATAAAACATAAATCTTTATCACTTCCTTATAGATTAACCTTAACTATAACACGACCAAGAGAAGCGCAACAAGAGCGACCGAGGACCTACTATGATTCAAAGGTTGAGTCATACCTTGTGTGAATTTCCAGATCCAGTTTTCATACAACTGGAATGACGATTGAGGTGATGATAATACGTCTGTAGTATCCCATTGATTAGAGACGGTGAAAATAATCAGACGACAATGGCTCATGAGATCAGTATGCAATGAGACCTGCTAAACTGTAGCTAGCAATCATTTACTATACACCTCTAGACTTTCTATCTACTGCCCATTCTCAAATTGTTAGATCTTAAAGGAATTTACTTACCGTGTGGTTACGGAATTTCCGATTCACTTGAGATCATTCCCATCATTTTGAATTATTAGACCTCCAATCCTAAAGTATGGCATACAGAGCCATAACAAGAGGTACTAGATAATTGTTTGCATATTTGATTTTTTTTTTGGCAAAAAAGGAAAACTTCGCATTAACAAGACGATATGTTGCACAACTCCGTAAAAGCAGGTTGACGGGGATTACCCTTTATTATGATTGATATACAAACTTCCAGCTGGAAACCCTTGTCATTTGCGAGAACTCAGAAGGTGATAATTGCTCAAACCTTTACACTTAATCCTGACTGCAACAGAGAAGGATTAGATGGATGACGCAGACCTTGACTTCCTAATAAAAAAGGATCGTAACCTTTTGAATTGAGCAGCTACCACATGTTCTTGTTGAGATCTCGGCTTAGCTATCAATTTAAATTTCACATCGCAAGACCTTAAAGGAACAATAGACAAAATCATGTCTATCAATCCAAACTCCTCAGCTGAAGCTCTCCCTGGCGGATCAGATGATGAATTCATTTTGAGGGATGACGATAGCATCGGTGAGATTATCAATGGATATGATCTCAACGATCTAGGCAAACTTGTCCTAAAGCTCCTCATTTCTCGAAACCCTAGCCAGAATGCGAATGAAGATTCCAGCCAGAGCTTGAAAGATTCAATCCCTCAGGGACTGCCAAATGAGATTGCAGCTACAATCCGCAAACTTTTGTGCCAAATCGGGGAAGATACAAACCGTGAAGGTCTCAGAAAAACACCCGACAGATACGCAAAAGCGCTTCAATTTTTCACAAAAGGATACAAGGAGAAAGCGAATGAAGTGTTAAATGGCGCTATTTTCAATGAAGAAATGGAGGACATGGTGATTGTGAGCGATATTGATGTTTTCAGTTTGTGCGAACATCACATGTTGCCATTCTTCGGAAAGGTATATTCTTCCACCTTCCACCCCCCTAGAACTGTGTGCTTGCGTGCGAGAATTGATTTACGGATTGATGAAAAGATTTCCTTGTTTGAAGTCTACAGCTTCATTTCCAGAACTGCGTTGGATTGTTCTATAACATGCAATCACTTATTGCAAAGACAGTTATTTTCGACTCGGAAGCCTTTCTGTGAAACCTTGTGCCCATTTTTGAAAATCTGAAGACTCACTATCTGTACATAGACGAACCACATGTAAAATCAAGGTACATGTTGGATATATTCCGAACGGACGAGTGCTCGGATTATCGAAATTTTCACGAATAGTCGAAATCTTCGCACGAAGGTTACAAGTGCAAGAGCGCTTGACGACGCAGATAGCAGATGCAATAGAAGACGCGCTACAGCCACTAGGAGTCGCAGTCATTATAGAGTGTAAACATATGTGTATGATGATGAGAGGGGTAGAAAGACGGGGTCTTTGACATCGACTCAATGTATGAGAGGTGTATTGAAAGATGGAGTGAAGGAACGAAAGAACTTTCATGCACTGCTCGAACTGAGGAAGCGGAGCTAGTTGTTTGGTAGAGATAGAAATAAGATTCAGGCCTTGAATTTGTAGTATTTACCGTACCTTGACATGCTTATATGATAATAAAATTCGAGAAAGAAATCCATACCATAACGACTGAGTATTTACTCGAGAATAACAGCCCCTGGAAGCTTCATGCTTAGGGAGCTTTCGCTATCATAGCTTTCATTGAGCATTGCTGCTTGTGATAGGCGCCAAAATTCAGAGCCTATTCACGATGGGTAGAGAGTTAAGTTGGTGGCACAGTATGTCTTTACAGAAAGCTTTGCCATTTTTGTTTGTATGACATCTGTTTCTCGTTTGCGTTTTTTGTTTGGCTGTCATTCCACCATTCAACCATGGTCACACAAGTATTATAATATGCAAGACAGCACAAAATGTCACCCACCACATTAGCCATCAGAATAGCATTTAAGCCTGCACTTAATCAAAACATATTAGTCAAACATCTTCATACTTCTTACCATACATACCTATCCACTCAAAAGATGATTCTTCCCGCTGTTTCCAGTATCACACCATTAAATTTATGGCAGAGTTAAAGCACCAAATCTTGTTAATTTCCACGAAATGACGAGATCTGTTCTGGTAAGTGATTACATGTATGAACAATTGATGATTTCCCAATAGACTGTTAGTTCCATAAATGCGTCTTATTTCCTTGGCACGTTGCGGGCGCATGACTGCATAAACTCGCTTTTGGGCTTTTTTTGTTTGTAGAATCGATTATAACCACATCACTCTTTCATAAGCTCTATTTACGCATTGCTCAATCAACTAAAGCAATATGGTTAGTTTCAATGAATTGAAAAAGGCTCTTATGAGGGATGCCACGACGGAGATGTCGTCCCCGAATCAACCGTTATCTGACTCTCAGTACAACAAAGGTTTCGACATATTGATGAATGGATCAGAATGGAGATCATACGAAGACTTTATCATCCCCGAATTATCTCAACAACTAATCTCACTTCTCGCTACACGTTCCACTTTTTCAGTGATTGAGATTGGACCCGGTCCAAAGAGCGTACTTGGTTATGTGCCCCTCCATCTTAGACGGAAGATTAGAAGATACGCTGCATTTGAGCCCAACACAATATCAGCTACAAGTTTGGAAGACTGGATTTCTTCTTACCCGGAATCCAACTCGCCATTTCCTTGCTTGGAAACTGCACCCAATATCTATAGAGTACCTTTTGTTTTCGATGATGAAGAGAAGAGCAATATCATCAAAACAGATCCTAGTAATGACGGGCAAACTTTCGATCTCATTCTCTTTTGTCATAGCATGAATGGCATGAAGCCGAAAGAAACATTCATCAAAAAAGCGCTAAAAATGCTTGTTTCAAGCCCAGAAAGTGGAAAAGTAGTGATATTTCATCGCGACCAGTGCTTTGAGCTTGCTGGATTGACTTCTTATCGTACGGCTATCTTTCCAACAGGGACTATCTCTGTAGCAGACAAAAACGAGACGTTGGATGCCTTTTCTCCCTTCGTCGCGGGTTTCATCAAGCAGGATGTGGAAGTGGATATTGCTTTACGAATCAAGTGGAGAGAGACATGTCGCACCTTGGCTTTTCATGATGAAAAGCTGCCAGGGTATCTGTTGTTCAGCTCGCCTCAGTGTATGGTATCCATGACAAGAGATGCGAATGTGTTACCCTATCTCGTATCACAGATACCATTAGCGAAAGAAGACCGAATTTTCAAAAGCTGGGAGGCTCGCTTGCATCGACCTACTTCGATCTTCAGGCCAACAACGGTGAAGCATGTCCAACAATGCATTCAATGGGCTCTGAAGCATAAATCAAAACTTACTGTAATTGGTGGTGGCCACAGCGCACACTGTCTGTGGCCCAATGTCGTCTCACTCGATATGGAAGCCTTCAATCGAGTACACGTTATCAACTCGAGTGATGGTGTAGATAAAGATAATACCCGTCTTGGCTCCACCTCTCTAATTGTAGCTGAGGCCGGATGCAAATCAGGAGATATCATTCAAAAAGCGATGGAGTTGGGTTTGACAGTGCCTTTTGGCTCTCGACCAAGTGTGGGAGCTGGCTTATGGTTACAAGGCGGCATTGGGCATTTATCTAGGCTTCATGGGCTGGCTTGCGACAATATTGTAGGTGCTGTTATAGTCAGTGTTATTTCTGGTCAGGTCCTCCATATCGGACAAGTACCGACCCAAAATTTGCCAGCCGGTGCAATAAGACCCAAAAACGAAATCGATTTGTTGTGGGCAATCAAAGGCGCTGGAACAAACTTCGGGGTTGTTATCAGCGTCACTTTCAAAAGCTTTTGGGCTCCGAACTATTCCGTTCGCAAATGGATCTTTCCTGTCAGTAAAGACACCGAAATTCGGCTCAAGCTTGGTGATATCAACTCTATCGCTAAAGATCTTCCTCGGAGCTGTTCAATAGACGCATATCTGTACTCGAATAACAATCAGCTGCATCTTGGAGTGACCTTGTTTCAAGCTTCGAGGAACAAGAACTTCGAAGTGCCTCCTCTGGTAGACAGTATTCTGGGACCAGTCAACCAATGCGAAGAAGTGGATAGTGTCGGCTTATTTGAGACTGAAATGTACATATCGACGATGCACGGCGGGCATGTAAAAACCTCCTCATTTAAGCGATGCTTGTTCTTCAATGATATTGAAGATACCCAAATCATCGATATCTTAACAGCAGCTATCCGGAACCGCCCCACACCATTCTGCTATTTCCATCTGCTACATTGTGGTGGGGCAATTCGTGATAACACAACAGAAGCCTCTGCTTTTGGGTGCCGTGATTGGGAATTTGCCTGTGTCGTCACTGGCGCCTGGTCTCGCAGCCAAGTTGGAACTGAACCAGTTCAAACCACTGTTCAGTGGGTCTATGATATCGTCAAGAAGTTGTTGCCATTTTCTACCGGGGTCTACAGTGCCGACCTTGGACCAGACCCTAGGGATAAGACACTGGTGACTAATGCATTCGGAGTAAACTTGCCGCGTCTGGCACAGCTAAAACGTACTATGGACCCATACAATATTATAGCTTACGCCTGCCCATTGTTTGAGCCTCCGATAAAACAGAAATTGGTTATTCTTGTCACAGGTGACAGTGCAGCTGGTAAAGACTTTTGCGCTGAGATCTGGGTCACCGTAATGACCGCATGCACCAGTCGAATGCTCACAGCACGTTCAGTCAGTATTAGTGATGCCACTAAGCGAGAATATGCCACAGAGACTGGTGCAGATATCAATCGGCTTCTTTCGGATCGTTCTTATAAAGAAGAACACCGACCAGCATTGACAAAATTCTACAAGAAACAGGTGGTCAATCGGCCTCGGTTACCAATGGAACACTTTGAGAGTGTTGTACGTGATTCTGGTAATCTTGACGTGCTTTTCATTACTGGCATGAGAGACGAGGCGCCACTTACAAATTTCTCACACTTGGTACCAGACAGCAGAGTTCTCGATGTCCGGGTCAACGCTAGTCGAATGGTGCTTCGAGCTCGCAAAGGGGACCATGATGAAGAAATTATAGCTACGAACCTCGATGGACCAAACCTGTCCACTTTACATTATTGCCCCAGTCTCATATTTGACAACGAGACAGCAGGAAGTGAAGCTGCGGAAACTTTTGCCAAAAAGTTTCTCCTGCCATTCCTACATGAGGACTTCACGCAACTTGCAAATATGGTACGAGCGGTACCCAATCATCCACGTCAGGGTGTGATTTTTCGTCACGTACTGGACATTTGTCAACAACCGGGTGGATTGACCTTATGCACAGATCTGCTGCAAAGGCACTTCATTGGTGAATGGGCTAAAGTCGATACTCTAGTTTGTTGCGAATCCGGTGGGTTTGTGTTTGCATCAGCTTTAGGAGCTCGGACTGGTATACCATTGGCATTAGTTCGAGGATCTGGCAAATTACCACCACTCACTATCTCAGTCGAAAAGTCGCCATCACATATCTCGTCTACGGAATCGGGCGAGTTACAACAGAAAAGGTTTGAGATGGATCCAGGTCTGGTTAGCAAAAGTAACTCTGTTGTGGTCGTGGATGATGTACTTGCAACGGGAAGAACGCTCTGTGCAGTGCTAAAGTTATTGATGAAAGCTGGCGTTGGGGCTAAGGATATCAGAGTTATGGTCGTTGCCGAGTTCCCTACTCATAGTGGCCGAGAATTCTTACGTCGGGAAGCTTTTGGGGAAGTCAGGATTCAAAGCCTTTTGGTTTTTGGTGGTGTTTAAAAGGGAAAACTCTTGTCACAAATTTACCCAAGAGTCTTGGTAATGTTAGGTTACATCTTGCAGCTCTTTTAATCCATGGCAATTCAGGATGCAGGTCACCAATCTGCTCGCTAGTTGGCGGAATTCGTAAAACTAGATTATTCAAAATGAAGTATACCTCCAGAGATGATGATAATACCGCGATGATCTGACAGCAACAAAGTCCACAGGCTAAAAATCTACTGTAAAATTACTCTAGTCTTTTGCTTCACAGCGGGAGAAGACATAGTGCGGCACTTATTAAAGATCATCTCTATACCCGGTCACGAAGGAGTCCCATGCGATCAGATGAGAAACCGCCTTCACTATCACTGGTGGAAGTTGAGAGCTATAACTACTCTGTTATACAGTATTCCGAACATAATTTGGCGAAGGCTCCACTGTAATGTTCTTGCCCACTCGAAACGAGAAATTTGGCTCAGGTAAAGAGTCGAGCGGGGAAAATATAATTTTGAGGTCCATAAGATAGAACATATTAATGACTCGATTCACAATCAAGCCCTCGAGCATAAAATTTCAGTCTGTCAAAGAACAGCCCCAGCTGCATTTTTGAGTGAGTGATTGAAAAGACAGAAATGTAATATGTTGCAAGTAGTGATGTCAAGCAATGATCAAGCGTGCTCATTACCTTCAAATCCTTCATACTATTTTAATAAATTTGAAGACTGACAACAGCAATTTCATGCTAAGATACGACAATATTCAAGAGACAACGACAACAAGCAACAACCATTCACAGCTTCCACACCTCTTCTGAAATAAGGAGCAAAGACAAATGGATGTTCACACAACACGAGACATCAAACTGCATCTCACATCTCACACCTAGATACTGAATCTGCTCAGAATTCGTGTCTTGGAAACATTAACAAGAATGCCAAATAGGGATTTATATACCTCCCTCGCGCAGAAATCTTACAAACCCTCAACCGATCTCCAAATCTTGTGCAAAAAGATGCTCTTTCCTTTTACAAACAATTGCAATCCTGGACTCTGCGCAACTATCACTTCCCAGATAAACATTCTCGGGTGTATAAATTCCTCTTACCCATCATCATATTCCAGATACAGTATTAGACCAGTCGTTGGCTACACCACTCAAGATGCGCTTCGAGACTGCTGCTTAGTCTAAACCAGGTCGTACGTTAAAAGGGGGGGGGGGGGGGGGGGGGGTTTCTATATGATACATCTAATTCCGAGATCCGCACCTGTTTAGAGGGATATATCGACATTAAAAATGCCCATCTACTGATGGAAAGAACTCGAGGACTGACAGTGAACAACCATCAACAGTAAGTCTATTCAACAACAAAAACTTTGAAACCATTCTTGCAACTCATTAGCCCAACCCACATTCTTCCATGCAATCAGCAAGCTACACAATCGAAAATTCCTCATCCTCTCGCCTTTCCTTACTGCTCTCTGACTCCTTGCTCTGGCAATCCTTTGGTATCTAATCTCCCCACATCCGTAGAATACGTGATCAATTTATACTCAATCACGCGACTCAAATTTTCTGCGTGGGAGAAACAGGAGTTCAAGCGAGTCCACTAGACATTCTCACACCATAATCTAGCTAAAATTCGCCTGTCTTGAGGTACGAACTTCTGAGATAAAGATACCCTATCAATAAAGTCATCACCCAACTTATTCCGGATACATATAAAGGATCCAAGCACTCGCGTCCACAAAAGAACAATTTCCATACCAGACTAGAAAAATTAGAATACAGCGTAAAATTTCCGTAAGCTAAGGTTATCCCAGGGGATGTTCTGAGATTCTGAGTGATTCTTGCTTGTTTGTAATAGGCTTTGTCTACAGCAGACGAATGAAATAACATGGGAGAATATAAACATACTCTTGATTTCGAGCATTGTTATCGAAATCCTAATATCTAATTTTCACAGTGGAAATTCAATTATTGACAATCAGACTTGCGATTCTACACTAATAATGGTAGCAACAGTAACACAAAATTGATCACTATAGAAACCTCGAAACCTCGAAACCTCGAAACGACACTCCCATCTAAAATGAAAACCAAAGACCACCTCATAAGACAGGTTGTTTAGTGGTGGCTAATAAGTTGTATTTTCTGAGAAGGGTAGCAAGAGAGAATATCCTTTTATATACCACTTGATTACTAGTCTGTCCTTTATGGAAAGCTTCTTAGATGTAGGTATGTAACCACTCCATCATTATACCCCCCATCCGCACCTACATCCCACAAAATCCAAAGATCACATCTGATATCTTTCCATCTACTATCGTACAACTAATCCCATGGAAAAATCTAACCCTACCTAGGTACCACCCTCAATAAACACAGCCCCATAATTCCACGCACCAAAACCATTGTTACGCGCAGACGAAACTTATAAATTTCCCCTCCTCCTTATATTTTCCTTTTTGAACTGCTACACTTCTTCAAATAACAACAAATAAGCAAGATAAATCTCGAATATTCATATATATATCTATATACAATTATTTCGAACGATATCTTCATATTCTCAAAGTGAAAGAATTCTTTGATTCCGAGTAGAGAAATTCATACAATCATCGCGTCGCAGTAAAATCAAAAAGTATATAAAGATTACGATAACCATCAACATCCAATTCAATCCCGAACATCAAATCTCAACCCCTTATCTCCTCCTCCCCCTCTCCCTCTCCCTTTCCCTCCCCCTCCCGCTTCACCACAACCACTCAACTCCATCCTCCTATTCCCCCCCTCTCCCCTCCAACTCCTCACCGGCCTTCCAAATTCCCCACATTCCCCTCTCATTTCTATTCCTCTCCGTAAACTTCTTCCCTTGAGTTCTTAACAGGTTTGCCCCAACCTAGAATTCCTCTTCTCTCAATTACTACCCATGCATTCCTCCTCCTTCTTTTTCTTCTTCTATTCCCTCCTCTTTCCCATTCACGACTGCTGTTTCTCCTATTATAACAATCATTATCATCCGTTTTCCAATCCCTCTCTCTCCTTATCCTCCTATATCTCCTTCCTCTCCCTCTCCTCTCATTTCCCACAACCACTTTATCAATCCTCCTAATCCCACCACCATCACCATCATCATACTCACACCTCATCTCCCAATCCTCTCTACCCCCACCTCTCGCACCACTTTTCAAATTTCTTCCTCGTCCTTCTCCATTATTTCTCCTATCCCCATATATAATTTCATCCCCATCTCCATCATACCTCGCATTCCAGCCCGCAGATCGTCTATCAACACAGCACTTATATCCAAACACCAACAACACCAGGAACCCCAATATAGAACCCAACACAATTCCCACAATCGCACCACTGCTCAAATCCATCGTCTCTGCTACATTGACTTGTGGCGTCGTTGACCTGGGATTTATAACAGCAACAGGAATTGTAACTGATCTGATGGTAGAGAGTTGATCTTTAAATTTTGAAGCAGCGCCTGAATCGAGGAGAATGGTAGCGGCAGAAGATATACCTCGTCGGGTCATAGTCTGTGTTATCCTCTTTGAAACACGAGGAAAAATTGTCGTGTGAGGAACAATTCGAGTCTTTCGGGTTATAGGAGCCATTATAATCGTGAGTAGTGGGGTGTTTAGAATTTAACTAAGCAGGCTTTGAGACAGTTCCGAGTTCTATGTCCATCATATTTAAGATGCAAAATATACCGAAGGGTTTTATAACAATCGTGATGCTTTTCTGTATACGCCCGGTTTCTTTGAAGAAGTCAATAGCCTCATGACGAGGCATCCACACGGTGAGTGTTTTGAGCCGCTTGAAGAGGGGGTACACAGATATACATCATTCATTACGGTCAATTTTTCCAGATGTTAGAATCCGAACCGATAGATTGGATAAGTTGCATTGCAGTAAACTAATGCTGTCAGCATTGTGTAGCATATATTTCAGGCTGATTTGTCGAGATTTAGACATATGTACGAGAAGGCTGAAGAAGGTAAAGGTTAAATGCAGCCGCTGAATGATCCGAAACCCTGATTACTCTCACATCATAGTACCTCTACCAATTTTGATCATAGTTATTACCAGGTTGACCAGTATAAGCAGGAAGATCCCCATCCAATAATGTTTGCCAATATTCCCAATCCATAGGAGTGATATCAGGCATTGAAGTATCAAGGAATGAATCTGAAGCGAGCCATGGTTGTTCTTGAGGCATTTGCATTGGCATCTGCATTGAAGGTCCTGGTTGTGATGGTTGTGGTGGTGGTATGTAATCAGGTGGCTTTTGTCTAACATAAGATTCGGCTGTAGCTGGCATTTGCCAGTGATTCACCGTTCTAAATGGATCCGAAATATCATCATGTTGCTCTATAGATCTTTGGACTTGGTCGTGCTTTTGTCTTTGAGATCTTGAGATTGATATAAATCTTGGCGGGGTAACTTGATCCGGTGAACGACTACCTTCTTCTCTTTTCTCCCAAGCTTTGAGTACCAAATTACCCAAGGCAAAGTATAAACTACTTTTAGTATCGTTAAGCATTTCTGCGCGAAACTCATATGCAAGTTCGACTTGTTGCCATGCTTTATCAACTAATTCTCCCTTTTCCCTACGTCGAAGCTCGCTGAGCAAATAAATAAATGCGTCCAGTTGAAAATGCACATGAATATGCCACAGATATCTTTGAACAAGCTTTTCGGAATGACCTAGACCATCATATTCAAGCATCTTCAATGATTCATTGAAAAGCATATCTCTTTCCTTCTGTGGCATACTTGCACCTTTATCAGGGTATTGTCTTGGATGATGAGCCATTAATCTCATTGTACAAATGACAGATTTCGCAACATAAATCGATAATAAATGTAAGGGTATCGATGGATCACAGTACTGTAAATACTTCTCCTGAAGTCTTGCCTCCAATTCATCAATAGTCTTATCCTTTTCGGCAATGACATCGAAACCAGGAGGAATATCCGAAGGATCACCACCGTGATGGCCGCCACCTCTATGTCCACCACGGCCACCTCCCCCATGACCATGACCATTACCACGTCCCCCATTGCCAAAGCTATTAGCTTTTCGTATAGCTTGTGAAACTTCGTATCGAATACAACAGAAAAGCATTTCAGTTGCACCTGCGCGCTCGGGTGGAGGCTCTATCATGTCGGGGGTAAGATCGCTATCGCTAACATTTAGTGGTAACTTTGTATCAAATTTTGCGAGCCACTACGTAATGTCAAGTTAGCAAAGCTGAAACATAGATGGGAAATGACTCCGAGCTGAATGAAGAGATATAAATTTGTGGTGAGAAGACCTGCAAAGCCGAGAGCAGATGAATATAGAGTATACACTTACGGCGGGAAATCCAGCTCCACATAATTTCGCAGCAAAACCATCAAGAAAAACAATCTGCCACCAAACTCTTCTTCTCATTTCCGTGTCGAAAGGAGATAAATTATGAGACGATCCATCACGATGAATACCCAATCTTTGACCAATTCGAACGGCAGAACCTGTCAAAATCCAAAATGCATGAGCATCATAATGCTTACGAGCTGCAAGCTATTCATTTGAAGTCAGTTGAGAAGCACAGGGTCATTTGAGTATGTCGGAGAGGGGTGGTGGGGTCGTCTAGGTCGTTCGGTTCGGGTAAAAGGAGTCGAGGGGTATTTATAATAACTTACAAGAAATAAACAATAAGCCTGTAAAGCAGTCAAATTGAGAGATTTAATGTATTTGACATTAATGAGGGCTTGTTGCGTGGCATGAGAATATCTCGTCAAAAGTATTGATCTTGGTTCATTGAATGTACTTTCACATTCATCGTCTTTGAGTGAGCCGATGGAGAGGAGGTATATAACGAACATTAAGGCTTCTGTAGGTTTCGGAATATGATCCATATCTGATGTTGCTTCTAAAATCATCTCTTGAACTGTAGGAGCATGAAACAGTTTGATCAATGGATTTACATTGGTCAGAAAAATTTGCCATAACCTAAAGATTGTGACAGGTTGTGGATGAAGACTTCTGAGATTTCTTTTTGAGCTGATCAAGTTACCAAGAAGAATTGTTGATTCCTCAGGAAAGAGAGCATTATCATTGCTATCATCTTCTTCCGATGAGACTTGGAATGCTTCTTTTGGGTCTTGTAATTCATTGCTGAGATTCTCCCAGACAGTACTAGAATTAGTTAGCAATGCATTTGAATGACCTAGTCAGGTAACAGAAGTCCAACGAGAGCTACCCACTTTTCTATATAACGAGAGTTACCATGTTTAGAGTACAATCGACCTCTTCCAGCTTTCGAACCACGAGCACAGCCCATAGAACGATGCCCATGTAATTCATGAGAACTATGATCACATCGATGTTTATGTGGACCATTGTGATTATCGTCATTTTCGGTCCCGATTGCTGTAGTAGTAGCTACTGGATCTTTACCTTTATTGGTTATTGAAAGGTTTTGTGGATTAGGATTGGGTGTCTTTTCTTGGCGACTGGAAATTGATTCATCAGCATTTCCGTCTTCAGTGCCGCTTGCATTTGCACTTCCAACACCACCAGTAACACCATCGTCGTCGATTCGAATTCCATTAACTCTCAACAAATGTTCATATTTCCTTAATCTTGCTGCAACGTCTAATTCGCTAAGCTTCCGTCTCCTTCGACGTGGAGCAGCAGGTGTGCTTGGAATACATTCAGCATGTGCTTTGACGCAATTTGAACATTGAGGTTTTTGCCGGTCGCATCGTACTTTTCTCTGTTGACAGAGAATACAAGAATGACCACGAGTTATCTTTTGATGAATTGGTTGGGCTGGAGGTGTTGGTATAGTTGGACCCGGAGGTTGAGGAGTTGATTCCATAATGGTATGAAGATATGAAGATATACAATATGTGAAGATCAAAGCCACCGCAGCCGTAACCTATGAGAGAGAGGATGATTGATGTGATGAAGGGGTCGTGAGTTGACGATGTAGTTGAATAACTTGACTCGTATTGTATTCGTATGTACCTACCACATTCGTATCCAATGGCCGGAGATTCGGAACCGTCGGGAGTTTGGGTCCAAACTATAAACAAAGCCTTTTCTTGCTGACTTTCTTTTTCTGTTTGCTTTGGGATAAATGCGTGGTCGGATGCTTCAATATGGATGCAGTCTTCAAAATCATATAAAGATCCCTTTCGGGTAATATCAAGTGATATACATCACCACTTGTAGCCTCGTACAATCATCTTACTAATGACCTTACTGAATACTATCAAATTCAGAATATTCTTACTTCTCCCTATGGTGGTTTGGTTCTTGGAATCAATTTCTCGAGGTGTCGGGTGTCGGGGTCGGAGGTTCGGCGTCTCTTCGGTCCCGACAATGTTCTTTCCTTGATTGTTCAACCTTTTTTGAGCTTTCTTATTGGATGAAAGGAGGAAGAAAGCCCCGTGAGCCTTGTGAGCCTCGTGAGCCTCGTGAACCTCGTTATTGCTTCATTTGGTAGGATGTTGGTGTCAAAGTAACAAGACAACATTCTTCGTCTGTTGAATGGTAGAAAAACTACTGGATTTCATTATCTTCTGTCCACTCTATCTTATCCTTTGATCCCTCTATCAGCTGCGTATACCTGTCTATTCATGTTTTCATAACAATGCAACTCTCTTACTATTGACTTCATCATTCTACTCTCCTCTACTCATAAGGCTTTATGAAATCTCGTTGTCTTCAAATTTGGGTGAGTAGCGAGTCTATCAGCCTTCTGTTCTCACTTTTTGTTCTTCCAATACTTTTCTCGCCAAACCATCTTGACATGACTTCTTCGCACACACGACATTAAGATCGAGTATCAACAAAGTACCAATTCGTCTTTGTTCTACTTCTATCCAGACTCCAAGTCCCATAAACATCGTACGTGCTTCAATTATGCTTCCTCGTCCATTGCCCCAAGGTCAACGACTTGATCTTGTAAGCTTCCTAGCTCAAGACCCATTGCCAGCTTCGATTTCTCAAATTGCATCTGAAATTCAATTCTTGAGAGAATGCCCTCAAGTGACTACTAACAAGAGAAAGGCCAAGATGGTTCGTCCTGCGATCGAATCGGATAATTCTGGTGAATCCGCAGCAATCAGCTCCTTCGGTGTTCCATTATCAACCACTTCCAATCACAATGGTCGCGTCAATCGCTGGGGAACTAGATTCAACGATGCGAATGGACAATATCCTGGATTAGGAAAAATGATTGTCACTATGTTATCTCTCTACCTGATTGCGCTGATTGTAGCTCTTGTAAGTCCTTTCCTTTGCAGACGCGAATCCATCTCATATTCCTCGAATTTAACCCTTGATTGTTCCTTCTACTTCCAACCCATTTCATATCTCTTCTCTTCCTCAAGATTTCTTTGGCTCAGAATATCCTAAGACCTCTCAAGCAATGCATACTATCACTTCTGCATACTGCAATTCCGAACTTCCGACGCCTCCTTCCGTTTACGAGCAATGCGGTGATACTAACAAAACTTAGGATCGAACAATTCTTAGTACTGCTATCCCAGCTATCACCGATGAGTTTAAAACACTTGAAGATATCGGATGGTATGCATCTGCATATCTTTTAACAAGCTGTGCTACTCAATTGGTTGTCGGAAAAATCTATAAGTTCTACAACTATAAATGGGTTCTGATGATCGCAGTTATCATTTTTGAGGTTGGGGTGAGTGATCCTTCTACACACGTATCTACCACCGTTTTAATTCATATTTAGTCTGCTGTATGTGGCTCCGCCTCAAGCTCTAAGGTTTTTATATTCGGTAGAGCAATTGGTAAGTCGTCCTCTGTCCTTTTTATATTAATCTTCGGAACTGACACAGTGAAGCTGGCCTAGGTTCTTCGGGTATCCGTAAGTGCGAGTGATGCACGACTTGAGTTTCTCTGTTTTCGATTCTGCATAAAGCTTCTACATACAACATCATCATTGAGTTGTGTTATTTATCTTCTTCTTTTCATGCTCTCCGAAAAGTTCTCTGGTAAGATAATCACTGACTGTTTGACATTTTAGTCAATGGAGCTATAATAATCCTGAACGAAACCGTGCCACTTCATCGTCGCCCTATTTTCATGAGTAAGAGATACAGACCACTGGGAAACTCAAGTATTTTAAGCTAACATGGAAATAAAGGTTTATTATGGTGTATGTTCGCTATCGCCACAGTGTGTGGACCTCTAATTGGAGGCGTCTTCACCGAAAAAGCCACTTGGAGATGGTGCTTCTACATCAACCTGCCAGTGGGCGGAGCTGCTGTATTCATTCTACTCTTCGTTGTCGAAGGAAAATCTAGGAAAAATACGGACACTTTTCTCCAAAAGCTTCGAAGAATGGATCCCATCGGAACACTCGTCTTCTTTGCAGGTATCGTTTGCATCCTTCTAGCATTGCAATTTAGAGGCAATCTATACAGCTTGGGTGATACAAGAAGCATCCTCCTCTTCATTTTGGGCGGCATTTTACTTATAACATTCGTCACGATCCAATTTACGTCCGGAGATGATGCAACAGTGCCAATTCGAATTATCAAGCAAAGATCTGTTGCTTCTGTAGCATGGTTTTCTTTTTTAAACTCATGCTCTTTCTATCTTGTTGTGTACTACATTCCAATCTGGTTCCAAGCTGTTCAAGGTCTTGACGCATTCGGTTCTGGTCTTCATACACTCCCATTGGTCTTAGCTCTGGTCTTCGCCACCCTATTCGCGGCAATATTCCAAAGATCCATTGGCTACTATGTTCCAATGATTCTTGTATCATCAATCATCGCACCGGTTGGCGCAGGACTTCTCACCACATTACAAGTAAATAGTGGACCAAAAGAATGGATGAGTTGGCCAGTTGTCTTTGGATCGGGTCTCGGTTTAGGTATACAGCAGATCAGTTTAGCAGTTCAAGCATCTCTTCCAGATGATGATATATCAATTGGTCTTGCACTTATACCTTTCTTCCAAACTCTTGGGGATACGATTTTCGTCACCATTGGTCAAGCCATCTTCTCTCATGAATTGGTCAAAAATCTTTCGGCTCTCAATCTTCCCTCCTTACCAACCTCACTGATCTTACACACGGGTGCTACAGAACTTCGAACTCTCATTCCAGCGCAATATCTTCCAGAGGTTTTGTTAGCATATAACGCAGCTATCATGAAGGTTTTTCTTCTGGCTATTATCACAAGTGCTCTTACGATTTTTACGGGTCTGACTTTGGAATGGAAGAATGTTAATCAAGTCAAGAAAAACTTTGAAGTTACAAGACGATCGATTTATCAATATCATAGTGAAGGAGACTGTCCGTTTCCTTTGTATGATGCTAGCAGTTCTGAACACGTACAGCTTGGACTTGTTGATACACAGAGCAAGCCTATCATGGAAACAAAACTTGGCAGTGATCTTCAACAACAATTGGAAACTATTAGGGAGGAGCGGGAAAAGTCTAGCTCTGCTGAGACTAATCCTCATGTTATCAAAACTTCTACCGATACGAAGACTACTACTGTAGTTGAGGTTTCAGAGAAGAATGAGGATGAGATTGAAGTTGTGGGATGAGTGGATATGTAGTGTTTGTGGATGATGAATATCACGATAAATTAGAAATGATGGATATGAGATGAGATAATAGAGTACGTTTTTACGATAGTTTAGTCTTTACGCTTCTAGTCAAATAAGCAGGATGGTAGAGTTGCGCTTTTGTACATACCGTGAAGCAGAAAATAGTAGCCTCTAATAATTCATGAAAGAATAATTGCAATCTTTGAGTCTTCTAATTGATCTCTTGAGACTTTCAGGCTCTGGTAGTAGAGAAGATAGTTTGGCTGCAGATGTTACTGTTTTTGAGTTTTCAATTGTTGAATTGTTATATCATCTTTGTTTAGCCCTTTTCAGTCTGCGTTTCTCACTCCCAAAATAAAAATAAGAGGGTAATCAGTCTGTTTTTTGTAAGTTATTATGTTAAGAAAATAGTTGTCGTTGCTTGTTTTGGACTTGGCTGTATTTTCAAATCATCTCATAATCCTCTCCTCTCATCCTCCTCCTGCTTGCAGTTCCAAAAACCTCTCTATTTCGTCTGAGTGGGTGGGTATGAAAGGAGGAATAATATATATCTTTGTATTATTATATTATATACTATTATTCAACTAAATAAGTATACTTCCAGGTCAATCTTTTTCGACATTAGCCCTAATACATGAGGAGATATTAGATTAAATCTAATATCATATTTTTCGAGCGCAATATTAAGCTTAATATTTATTGATTTGGACGAGGATATTTATTGAATGTGATATTGAGTTTAGTAAAGTATTGAGTAGAATATGTTAGTTTGAAGAGTTTTTGAGTGTTTTTCTATGTAGTGGTTAAGAGTTAAGAGTAACCTGGAAGTCTTTGATGCTGATGAGATATGTTTGGAGGGAATCAATATATGTTATTTCAGATATATTAGTTTCTTTTTTTTAAACATATAAGAAATTGATTTAGAGATATTCTGATTATTAAGATACTTATATTACAGCTATTAATTTCAATCTTATATTCATAATTATCTTGTTTTATATTTCACATTTTCTTTCTGTTTATTACTTTTCATAAAAATATATTAATAGATTAAGTTTTTCTTCTTTTTTTCAACTTACTACCTCATCTCATAATCCCCCTCTCAAGCTCCTCTTCCCCTCCCTCCCAAAAACCCCTCTAATCCCCCTCCCCCACCTCTTCCACACCCCCCTTCCGTTTCCCCTCTCCTCCCCCCCTCTCTCTGCACCTTCCTCCCCAAAAAACCTCTCCCAATACCCCTCCCACCCCTCCCAAAAACCCACAGACCCCTCCTCCCAACCCCCCCAATACAACACCTCCCCCATCCAACTCGGCATCGCTTCTTCCCGCACTCCCTGCTCCTCACTCAATTCCTGCACAACAAGCCTCTTCATCTCCTCTCCTTTTTCGCGGAGTTCCATATTCAGAAGTGAGATTCGATGGGTGAGTTTTTGTCGCGCGAGTTCGTTTTCATAGGCGGAAAGTGCGAGGTGTCCGTACCGTCGGGAACGGAGGAGTTTGTTGTAGAGGTGGTGGTCGAGGTGGGAGAGGGAGGAGAGGGGTGGGGGGTGGGAGTGGGAATGAGAGGAGGGGGAGAGAGAGGATGATGGTGATAGGGATTGATGGGGTGGGGAGGCTGTGCGGTTTGATTTGGATTGGGACTGCAGATATGGTTTATCGGGGTGGGAGTGAAAGTATTCTATTATTTGCGCATCGAGAGTTTCTTGGTAGGATTCTAAGGATGGGGTTTCGGGTGCGTGGAGAGAAGTGGGAGATGAGTAGGAGGAAGAGTAGGCATATTCAGATGGAGATGTATGGTTCGAATACTCGGAGTCGGAATTGGACTCTATTGTGTAAATAGAAGCGGGAGGTGTATGAGGATTTCTGTGGGAAGTATTAGATTGCTTTTGAGGAGTTGATATTTGCGTATGTAAATTTGAATGGTTTTTTGAAGATGGATCTTGGAGTGTTTTCTTGGTGTTGGCTTTTGATGGCATGTTGATTTTGACGATCCAAAGAGAGAAAATAATTGATTAATGAAGAATCGATGGAGATAGATACAGATTCTGAAGGTTTCTCACGTGGTTTAATGTGCGCAGAAAATTATATACAAGAAATGATTATATCGAATGCTGACTTCGGCCTGGTGTGGAGGTTATATATATGAAACTATATTATTCTTCTACCTGTATTTTCTGGGCCGTATATTGCCAACAAGACGGTGGTTGGTCAGACATTGGGTCAATAAAACAAAATTTTTATTTCCGTCATAGTGAGACCGGAATAGAGACCGGATGTTCTGTAGGGCTGAGATCTCGGATCTGGAACATTTTGTGGAGTGGATAATTTCGGGGTCGGGAAATGGGTCGAGATATGGGTTTAGTTGACTTGAGCCGAGAGGAGACGAGATGGGGTGTTGTATCGCGGGATGTGGAGTTCATTGTGCTTGGAAAGCTGGTGTTCTTGATGAGGAAAAAATGGGTCTGGTATTTTTAGGGGTGAGAATCGAGTGCAGTTTTGAGCGGACCTTACTAGCGATACAGTAACTAAGTTTCCAGAATTATTTAAGTTTGACTTGCAAATACATGTAGAATATCTGGCGTGTTTTCTAGCAAAAAAGTCAAAGGCAATGGAATTCTTCATTATGTATATGATCGAAAGCTCTCAAAAGCCCAAACATATGTGCTAGTCCCGCAAAAATCACCATGAGGTGAAGAATCTGATGACTGGAACCTAAAATATCATGACGATGTGGAAACCATTTTTCTGGTATCTGCGTATTGGATGTTTCTGTTAACCTTATTTCTTCTTCCATGGCGAATTAAAAGTGGGTGAGAGAACTAGGAGAAAAGAGAAGAGAAACCTTACCCTCACAGCATAAGCGACAGCACCAAGTAAATTGAACCCCGCCATAACCCCCATCCAATCTAGACTCATTCTCCATCTGAGCATTTCGTATCCATAGATTATGAGACCATGAATTATAAAAATAGTAGAGGAAAGTCCTAGACAGCTGTACATTGTTGCTCTATAGGAGCGTACTTTTGGATGATGGAACTCGGAATGAAATGTTGTGATTGCACAAGCTGTTGCGGAAATCGAGATCTTTTTTGGTTACTAATAGGAGATATGGCAAGGGGAAAACAGGGGAATATATTTACCATCATCCAATAGGTTCTCTGAATAACCGGATCGCAGTAAAATCCATAATAGACAGTCGGAATAGTAGAGCTCCACATCAATATCACTACACCTAGGTAATCAAACTGATTGCCCACTACATGGACTCTCTTACTGTGATTTGCTATGAGATGAAAACTATTGGCATCTTAGTTAAGAGATGAATATAATGGACTAACTATTAGACATACATAGCTGATAGCAGAAAACAGATTGCTACCCCGAAGAAAATTGTCGATAATACATTAATATCCACTATTTCTGCATTTGCAAAACGAGGAAAACTTCGTTTATGGAGAATGAATGGAAGCGAAGCGAATAGAATTGAGCCGAATAGATGAGAGCATATGTTGACTGGACGTTATTACTCATAAGCTGTGTTTGAAAATAATTAGGGACCACCTCATTTACCTGTCTCGTTGTGTAGATAACCTAAACTCCAAAGAGACTTGAGAAATGAATTCGAAGCAGGTCTATGATTTATTAGTGTTTAGATTTATAAGCTTTTAGTATGAGGAGGCTACCGATATCCAGTTAAGATATATTCATTATCTCTAGATTATCAAAGCATTTAGCTTATATTCCAGAGAATGTGTCAGGTAAACTAACCGCTGCCAATTTTCTCCATGGTGCTGTTAGTTGTTGTAAGCTATTTAGAGAACTTGGAGACATACGAATTTCGTGCCAATCCAGTAAATTGCTTCCAGAAATACGATTCTTCTTATTCTCTTTATCACGAAGGTTGAGAAAGTTGTTGATGGCCTGCGGAACATGGACAGCTTTGTGGATGTTCTGATCCTCTTTTCCAGTATGTTCGACTGGTCTTGATAGCATTTTCGGGCATTCAACAATAAATTGAACGACAAATTCCAAATCACAGCGAGCAATGAAATTATGTAAATAGATAGAACAACAGAATCTATGGATTGAGACGTCAAAGAAAAGCTACACAAAGCAACAAAGAATTAGTGCCTCGAGGTCGAATCGCGTACGGAGCGCTGAAAATCACAATGAAACTCATATGGTCTGGAACATATTGAACAGAGCATAAATATATCCAGTTGAAGAAATGGAACACCTTTCACCTCCTTGCACTCATCTACTCTGATGATATTTGAAATGAAGATTTCCACAAATTTTATATTTCAATGACCTTTAATCAACTCGTGATTATTGCGATGATTTTGGTGGCTTCATTGCCTTTTCCTAACATCAGCATAAAGCCACGTTCGACAAAGAAAGCTACGAAACTGGAAGGAGATGGGGTAAAACTTTCATGCGCAGATGTTTATATGGGTATTAAGATTAGTGGACATGACAGCAAACATCCCGGCATCTTCAAAAGATCATAAACATCTTCCGAGCTTCTAGAAACATGTATAAGCAAGCCTCTAGAAAGATCTGGAAGAGGCTCAAAGCGTGCGATGTGTCTAAAATCCTACTCTCTCTTGTCTGCTCGTGAGACTTTCTCATTTCTCGAAAATCTTTTGAAGACGGCAGAAATCATCTGTTTGAACCAATAAATGTTCAAGAGTGTCAATATAGTATTTGTTCCCAAATATCCCCAAGCTAACCATATCGGTAATGCCAACTCTTCAGATCCTCTAGAGAATCTGAAAATGTCCCATTCTGGGCCTCCAGGGCTCTTGAATTCTGGAACGGATATAGTGGGAGTATGGAAAGCCCCCCATATATCTTGGTATAATTTTGCAGATTGATATATACCCCAAACGAGACGGCACGAGAAAAATGTTAGAAGGAGTATTATGCCGTTGTAAAGTTGTGCTTTGGAACCCGTCATATTGAGTTTGTCGAAGAACCAGTGGATATTGAGAAACGGAGTGGAAAGCTCATAAAGGACGAAGTTTTGGCCATAATAATTTGCGAATGGTCTCTGAATATCCCATACATTAGTAGGATTACTCCCTTGAATAGCCTTCACAAGGTTTTTAGGAGAGGAACAAGAAATGAAAATCTCACAAAACCAATGCCAACCACTAAAAGCGCGCAAAGTGCATGTATCAACGAGCTCCATCCAAGGATATCAAAATGGACCACACTAGCCATTAAATCCCACAAGAAATACCCCATAGCAAACGCTTGAACGAGGCCACCAGCCCCAGTATATCCCCATATCCTTCCTGTCCAGTCCATGTTCGATCGTTCTTCGTCCGTCCGAATTAACCATAGGGCTAGTGTGCATATCAATGTGGATTGAACGAACGAGACAAAATGTATGTTCCAATTGATTTTGTTGCTATGGGAAAGCGATGTATATGTTCTTGGAAAGAGTCGACATGAGACAATTTGGGATACATATATATCTATGGTGTAATAGAAACAGAATGCGAAGAGTATTTCATGTATGTGGAAGGGCAACGTCTGCAAGTTAAAAGTATTTGTGAGGGTTTGCACTTTCGTGAAGAGAATATCTGGTGGAGAATAAACTGGATCGAGCATCTTGTAGGTTTTCATTGTGGAATTTGTAGATCTCTTCATCTCAGATCAATATGTTACCAATACCACATGATGATAATATGTAGCACTATATGCTTCCCCTTGCATACAAGAGGTCTCTATTGGAGGAACTCCGACTGATGCTGCAATAACTTTTGCAATGATTGAGACTGCTCGGTGATCATCTTTAACCCGTTGGAGACGATTCAATTCTTAGAGCGGCCATAGCAAAAGGTACACTTGTACGAGTTGGAGTGAGTGAATAGATATCTGTTAGGAAACCGAATGATAAATTTTAAAATGATGATGGAAGCCATGTGCTATCTTCACGAAACAGATCAGATTCACTCAGGTTCTCACACCTACAATGTGGCGTGGAAAAGTAAAAACGTTCAATCAGAAAAGGATAAAAAGATCTTGCAGAGATTCTTCAGTGATCCCAATCCCGAAGTAACCGATTTCCCCACTATGTGCACGTCCCTACTACGTGCACGACTTTGAAAATATCAACATTATGGCTTCAAACATCGATGATATGTCTTTAGAGACTTGTATAAAGCTTGTATTAGATCATTTGAAAGGGGTTCAAGCTTTTAAATATATCTAGATAACTAATTTCTTTAAAATTGATCGATCCACACTTTTCTGGTGGTATAGAGATAAAACTATCTTGAGAAAATAGTTCCTCTTTGATATGAAACAAGTGCTTTCTAATGATTAGGAGAAGGTTTTAGTTGATCAAATCAATAAGCTGATATAGAGATCTATCCCTTTTACAAGCTGTATAGTCAGAAACCTTGCAGAAGAGATATTAGATAAAGAGGTGGGAAAGAATTGGATTAGTAATTTTGTTAAGAGGTATTCAATACGTCTTAAAAGTCGGTATCTTTGTTGTATTGATAATTTGTATATAAAAGTCGATAATGTTGCTATATTTGATTACTTTTATAATCTGGTTTGAGCTATTTTCTATTGTTGTTGATCTTTATTATCTAAAACGCTTTTGCTAATGCTCTTCTTTTTTTAATTTAGTTGATAAAAGTGATTATAAAATATGATATACAGCCGAGAGATATATATAATTGAGACGAGGAGGGCTTTATAATCAGTATAAAGAGGATTATAAAGAGGATAATGAGTGTTAGCACTTATAATAAAAGCAGAGTAACAAAAGCTAGGCAAGATGGATTAAGAGAGTTTATTACTCTATTGGTAGCTATATGCATTGATGGGACAGCTCTCCCTCCTGCTCTTATTTATAAAGGAGACTTAGAGGATCTATAAGATATATGGGTTCAGGATGTAGGGGAGAAGGATAAAGCCTATTTTGGAGTCTCAAGTAATGGGTAATCGTCGAATGCTTTTGGCCTATATTAGCTTATAAATGTATTCGATCCTATTATATATCGAAAAGCAGGTGGAAGATATCATCTACTTATTATCGATAGTCATTCTAGTCATATCAATATGAAATTCCTTTCAAAATGCAATAAATTAAAGATTATTGTCTTAATTCTCCCCCCTCATTCTATACATCGACTACAGCCTCTCAACATTGGAATCTTTGATGCCCTTTTGACGAATTATAGTACATTATTGAATGATTTGATACACAATAGCAAGAGGATTGTTGGTATGACAAAGCATATGTTTTGGGGTATATTTAAAAAGGCTTGGGAGCTCACTTGTACAAGGCATAATATCTTACAATCCTTCGAAAAAACAGGCATATATCCTATGAATAGGAGTCTTACGATTAACTGTATTGCTCTGAAAGCTTCTTTTACACTACCTACATCATTTAAAACTCGCAGGGATGCTTTTGCTACATTGTATACATCAAAAGCGATATATAGAATGAAATTAGAATTTCGTTGCACTTCCATCTATGAGATTACTTTAAAGCTTTTTAAGGCTGCAACTACATTAGGAGCTGAAGCTTTTATATAGAGATATAGATCTAAAGGTTTAGAAAAGGCTCTAAAGCTTGAAAAAAGGAAAAGAGCTCGTTCAAAGCATTTAAATCTCATTGGAGAGAAGGGGAATGGTGCGTTTTTATAGTCACCTTCTACTATTATTAAAGCTAGAGTGTATCAAGAAGATAAAGCACTTAAAGAGGAGCAAGAAAAGGAAGCTAAGCTTCAGATAAAAGCTGAAAAGAAAGCTGAGAAGGAACGGAAGGAGATTGAGACGAAAGAGAGGGTATTGCAGAGGGAGGTTGATTGTCAGATTATATGTGATATAAAAGAAGAGGTTAAAAAGACTTTAAAATCAACAAAATCTTTAATTAAAAGAGATAAAAAGTTCCCCAAAGCTTTTTTTACTATAAATCTAATATCGACAAAGACTATAAAGCTTTTTGATATTGTAAAGACTAATAATTTGAAGAGAAAAAAAGAGAAGGTCATATTACGATCTAGTAAAGAGCGAGCACTACGAGTTCTATCGAAATTCAAAATCTGAAGATTTTATTATGTTTTTAGATAGTATTGTATCTTATCATTTATCAATTAAATTGCTAGCTCTTTATCTTATAAATTGAAATTGTTATTAATTTTTAAAGTTATTCAAAAAGGGTGATCGAGATCGTGCATATAGCAGGGACGTGCACGTAGTAGGGAAATCGGTTATAGCCTGGATCCCGTGACATAACTCTAGAATCCTGCAACCCTTACAAAATCACCATCCCAAGTCCAAACACGTCAATTATTCATCCCAACAAATTTTCATCACATCATAAGAAAATCAATTGCATCCTCCGCCCGTTCAAAACCCTAAATGAACCTATAATCAGACGATATCAACGTACAGACGTGCATTCAACCCATGTTATTGAAACTTGGGACGTTTTAAGGTTGTCGGAGTTGATACACCTCCGTGCTTCATGTACTCGCTTGCTTACAATGCCATGGACGGACATGATTGAAGCCGAAGAGAGTTAGGGGTTGGCAATGGGATGAAAAGATTGGATTTCTTTTACATGGACAGTAATAATGCTTGCGTTGCTATCGAGAAAGAGGAATGGTGATTTGCTTGCGATTCGAGTATAAGACAGTTGTTGAAGAAAGATACACGTACACCTAAAGTTAGGCTAATCCCCTGTCATATGCGAAGTTTTGCCATCATATAAAGAGATCGAAGAGAGAGGGAATTTACACACCATTAAGGCCCAGCCTTACACATATTACCCCAAACATCTCCATTTATTAACCTTTAAGCAAAGCATCCAAACATGATACACACCATCTCAACTTCAAAAGATAGTTACATGCCAAGCCTTCACTCCTGTCATCTTATCTCAATCATCATCCGTGGTTTTGGTTCCCGTCTAGAGACCTAACCCCTGGAGTTTTAAACCTCCCTTCCCCAAACACTTCAAAGTCATTTTTGTTACAACCCCAACCTTCATGATGTCCTTGAATATTCTTGGAAGAAGAAATTGTATTGAAGTTACCTCATGTGTATCGCCAAGGCTGTAACAATTGGACAAGCATGTTGGAGATCATTCAATCTTCGTTTTTACTTAATTATGCCTTCTTTCTCCCTCGATGTAGGTTTTGATTTTTTGATATTCATCTCTTGTATTTTACTTTGTCTGCTGTTTCTTTCTCTCTTCATCATTCTTCCTACGATCTCTTATAACAAATTCGTATTCTTTAATTGTTTTGTCGGCGAGTACGATATCACACATTTTTCATTTTCAAGCGCCAGTCGCCATCAGTCTATTCTGCTCTATTCTATAATTTTTAGAAAGACTTATTCACACAGTAGTTCTCTAACTTCACAACTATTCATTCTATCAAAATGCATTTCACTCAGTCTCTCCTCCTTTCCGCCTGGAGTATCAGCACTGTCTATGGTAAGTCCTATGCATAGCCTCTCTCCAATCCAACTAACCCTTCCTCCAGCCGCAGCCAATACAAGCACTTCTCAAACCCATATAGTCCGCGTCGGCCAGGCCAACAATAGCACTGCACTTAGATACTTCCCCGACAACATTTCAGCCAAAGTAGGCGATACAATCCAGTTTCAATTCGCAGCCGGAAACCACACCGTTACCCAATCCACTTTCGACGCACCCTGCGTTCCGATTAGCCAAAGCTCAAATAACACAGGTGTTTATAGTGGCTTTATGAATGTAGCTGCTGGATTGAATAGTACGGGTATGGTACCAGTATTCAGCATGCCGGTTAAGGTCGCTACACCTTTGTGGTTTTATTGTAGTCAGGGAAAGCATTGTCAAAATGGAATGGTTTTAGTGGTCAACGAGAAGTAAGTTTTCTTCTCTTAATCAACAATGTAATTTATACTAATACCTCACAGCACCGCAGCAAACTCAACCCGCTCTCTCGCAAACTTCGCAGCACTAGCAGCAAAAGCCACAAAAAATATCGCCCCTACATCCAACGGTACTTCGTCCACCTCTTCTTCCTCTTCCTCAACTTCCAATTCGGGCTCTTCAGGCTCAGATTCCTCATCCACAGCAACAACACTCTCTCCAGCCTCAGGTACATCTTCTAGTAACAGCGGTGATTCATCTGCAGCTGCAGCTGCATCCGGAACAGCTACTACCAGCACGAGTCTTACGGCCGCTACTGCAAATGCAGGAAATAGATTTGGAGTCCAGAATGCAATGGGATATGTGGGTGCACTTGGAGCTGGTGTAATGGTTTTGTTGTGAGGGGTTTATCAATAAGTTGAATGCATGACGATGCAAAAGAGACATCTAAAAGATGAGAGAAAAGTAGATTTGGTGGAAATAATGCGGAAAAGAAAAGAAAAGATGATTCGTTAATGTATCACTATGCATATATGCATTATACCGCGATCCTGTGGACGGGACGCGATGATGGCGTATGGAGATCACTCTCTACATTTTTTTTGTTTAATTCGCTGGATGATAAAGCGATGTATCATGATGAGATAGAATAGATGATGTCTGTCATATCCATATAACTTTCGTCATCATGTATGTATGTGTGAAGTGCTCGTTCATGCTAGAGTCAAATGCACTAGTCGAGATTAGATAGTTAATAGCTGGCCCTCTTGAACAATATTCAGATTGAAGATCGATGGCTCCTTGACTTCATTCATGAAATCCCATAGTGAGGATATATAAAAGATAACAGATAGGATCTTTGTATCAGAAAACCCGCCCGTTGACACTCCCCTCAAATCTCCTGATAACGCCGAATCTCGCCACGCTGCCTTAATAGAAAGAGAACTTCTCGTAGATAAACATTCGTGCCAGCGAAGACCCAAATCAGCAAATTCGCTTCTATGCTTCCAATTGTAAATCCGTATCTCCCCCTCAGAAATCCAATAACAACTGCGGCGCCATCTTCTCCAAATCTTCCACCTCCCAAAACCCGCCACCTCTTCCACTACCCCTCTCCGCGTACCTCACCCTCGCAATTGCCTCTCGAACAAACGTATCCATATATTTTCCCACCGCTTTATTCGCTTCTTTCGAAATCCGCGTGTTAGGCTCTGCAAAAAGTTCGTGCATGATCTTAGAGAGCAGATCATTAGGAATTGTTGTGCGGGTCTCAGAGTCCGAATCTGATTCCTCTGCTGGATTTTGGTGGGTAGATGTTGAGGCGGCGTTGCGAGGGGTAGGACGAGGTGGAGATATCATTTCGAGCTCGGAATCAGAGGACTGTGGATCACCGTTGTCTTTTGTCTTGGAGGTTGAGGGTTTAGCTGCGGATGTAGATGTAGATGTTGATGCTTTGCCTTTTCCTTTTGATATAGGTGGTTGTGATGCGAATGGGTCATCGCTATCCTCGTCGACTTCCATTTCATCATTTTTATCCTTTGCCGACTCTGAATCTGAGTCTAAATCTGAGTCTTCGAGTTGAGGAGTGGGAGTTATGGACGCGCGCGGTTGCTTGGAAACTGGCGGTTTGACTGTGGATTTAGGTTTGGAGGTGGTAGATGTCGAAGTTGTGTCTTTGGGACGTCCGCGAGGTTTGGATTGCCCGGAGGGACGAGGGGGATTGAATGGTTTTGGGGGCATGTTTGTGGGTGGATGGGCAATTGAAAGGGAGATCAAGGTGATTGTGAGCTTGCTTATGTATTGTATACGATATATGATGTGCGGTGGACGATGTGGATGTGCAGATAATTGCAGCAGTAATGTTGATCCAAGTTCTTTTCGCTGAGAGGGTTGAAGAAGCTGAGAGACGCGACGCGAAATGGAACGTTAACATGTGACGCAAGAAAATGCAAATACGGTGACCTTTTCGCTCACACTTCGGAAAATTATCCAACATCGACATCAACAAAGCAGTAAAAGAAACTCAGTATTACTCGATTTAGTTTAGGCTGTTGAAAAAATGAATTATATTCATTAGATGTGCAACAAAACGTCTGAAATGGATGCTAGGGATATGGTAGAGGATGGTGAATTGATGAGAAGGAAAGGGAGGTTGATTCTAGTGAATCTTTGAACCTCCCTTTCCTCGAATTTGAGGTGAATGTCTAAGATGCTTCGGGTGATCACAGGACGAGTATATTTTGAAAGGGCAATCTAATAGCTCAGATCATTCAGACTCTTCCACGAACTCACAGAATTTCAGGATGAAGTATTGGTAGCATGGCGATGTTTTCTTTCCCGTGCACTCGAGCCCAAACCTGGCGCAACATCTTCTCGGGTGTCAGCATTGCTGACTCTAAGATTTTTAATGTAGTTTTCCCATCTCTTTTTACATGGTAGAAGGTGATCGAAGTTTAGCCTTGAATGAAGTTCGCGTGATCTGAACGAATTCTCAGGAGGACTGTGCTTCAGCTGCGGAAAAGTAGCTGCCAGGTGTGAAGATTCGAGAGCATTTCTCGTTTGAGGATTTAAAGAAAGGGGTCAATCATTGGACTTATCAAACTGAAGTTGACGATTGTCGGCTTCTGGAATACCACCATCTAAGTCCTGGCCAGCGTGTCAAGAATGACCTCGCATTACTTCTCTTCTGGAATTTGCTTCGATAACATCTCGCGAGAGTTAGGATTTCTCTTTGCCACTCACATACCATACGAATCAACTCACAGACCTAGTAATCAAGGGCACCCATCAATCTTAGCAAATTAACTACTATAACATATTATAACTATCTTCTACACACTACATAAACATGAACTAAACGACAGCAGACGGTAATGCCTGCGGATATATATGCAAAATAAACAAAAGAAAACTTTTGGGCCACGCCAAGTCCACAAGGGTAAAAGGTATCTATCTATCTTCCGTTTCCTTTGTCGGTGCAATCATCAAACACACTCTATACCAACGCCGTTTTCTTGCTGTTCGGAGTGAGATTCAAGGATATTACCCACCACGCACGAATGCTTCGCTCACTATACCTCCCTCCCTCCTTTTCAGTTTCGCTTCCTCTGGTGAGAAAGGAGACGAATGTGAAATTATATACAATGGAAATATTTGTTTTGTAGATTTTGTTCGTGTGAAATTGAATCGATGGATGATGAAGGATCTGTCGTTGAGATTTATATGTCGATCGATGAACCTCAGGATTAGATGATGTTTGTAATACTCATCCGTTCGTTGCCGCGGCTTCTGTCGTCTCTTTGAGCCGGAGGACTTGTTTGTGGTTTTGCTTTAATTGGTCCCATTCCACCCCCTCCGATTGATCCTCCTGTTGAGCCGCCCATTCCACCTGCTACTCCGGGCGCTACACCCAAGCCTAATCCAAATACGCCTCGAGGCTCCGGCAAATATGCGTTTCCTTGTCCTTGTCCAGGGAGAGATCCAGAACCTGGCACAGGCCCAGACGCATTAGATTCTCTAGCCAAAATGTCCACCAAATATTGCACTCTTTCCCACCCACCCCAGTCCCTCGCTTCCGCCTCCCCAAGCACCAAAAGTCCTCCACTTAATCCACTCATACCTCCCATCTCCCTGTCTCTGTCTCCCTCGCTTGATAATGTAGGACTAGTCACACCCGCTCCTCCAGCAACATTGGGACTCCTCATCCCCATCGTCTCTCTGCCTTGCCAAATCCAACTCTCATCCCCACCTTGCAGATCTCCACTCAAGTATGCCAATACCTCCTCATCCATATCAAATCTTCCTATCCTCTGACTGGAATTTTGACCTGAATACACCTGTTCCCTACTTTTATTGTCCAAACTCCTCTTCTTATCAATCAATACACCCAAAAAGAATCCAATATATCTTCCACAAGCCACATTAACCTCTCTCTCAAATCCAACATAAGCAAGCGCTCTAATACATGTCGCAGCGGCGTCGAATCGTCCTCCAAAGAGTAAAAACAAAGTGCATCGCCATATATGCATACAAATCATCGCACTAGTGCTTTGGCCCCAGCTTCGATTTTGCGAGGATAGTGGGCTTGTGGAACTTTGAGGGAGAGCGCGAGAGAGTATAGAAGCACTGTTCATAGAGTCGAGAATACAGGATTCGATAGCGGATGCGCGTAGATCGGGTGGCGAAGAAGTAGTGAGATTGTGGCGGTGAAGTAAGAGACGTGCGTTTAGAAGGTGGTAGATTGGGACGAGAGTTGTGGATTCGAGAGGGTCGGAGGAAGAGAGATGGCAAGGGAGCGGAAAAGCGGATAGACAGTTTGTAAAATATGTGTCGAATATAGAGATTGTGGAAGGGGGAATAATAGGTAATTTGAGGGTCTTGAGGAGAGACCCTATGGCGCGCATGGTATGGATAATTGGAAGAAGATAGGTTGACGGCATGCTTGTTTGTGCGCTGTTTTGAGGCGCAGGTGGAGACCGATAGCCCAAATAAAATTCATCAATGGGGTTAGGGAGATTAACATCGCAATCTGCGTCGTCGATAAGAAGGGGTCTTCCAAGTTCAAGCGACATGTGCCGGTCCCAAATATAGATTCCCCACCATACTCTTCTGCGCATTTCATCTTCAACTAATTGCCACGGTCCCGTCTCGCAATGAAGGCCCAAATCTTGTCCAATTCGAATACTTGATCCAAGCCATGTCCACGCTGACGATTTAAGATTCATTTCGTAAAGAAATATACTGGTAAGGAGAGCTGAACGCGCATGATCTATGCAGTAATCGTCGTTCCAAAGATCTGTAAGGTTTATGGATAGGTCTATGTATTCTTTACCTTTGTAAGGTCTTTGAATACTAGGCTCTGTGCTGAAGAGAACTCCCACTGCCATCACCGCAAAGAATAATGCAGTCCAGTTCCGTGATGTAGTTTCCAAAGAGCCCTTTTTGTAAACTTCTTCATACTCGCGCTCAAAGTTTGGCCAATGAAGTATGGGTGTTACTAGATGTATGGAAGAATAATAGGCTCTCAAGAGGTGATCTGCGAGATGCTTAAGAGGTAGTTCGGGAGGCGGAGAAGTTCTGTTTACTGGTGATCCTGTTTGTCGGTATGGAGCTGGAGTTTTGAAGATTCCATGGCTATAGTTCCCGATGCTTGATTGTATTTTTGACAAATCGTGTTGCAGAGGGGCTCTTGGCCTCTTTTTAGGTTGCGATCCAATCTCTGGTAAGTAAATAGAAGTCGAACCTTCATCAACATCCATTTGATCCTCTTTCATACTGAGCATGGCTCTCAATTGGTTATTCTCGCGCTTGACTTGGGCAATTTGTTTCTCCAAATCTTGAACTTGTTTGATGGAAGACATACGTCTATTTGTCTCTTTCGTAAATTGACATTTGACATTCCT